ATCTACAATTCCATTTACATCGTAAACGATTTTACCTACAATTAGATTGATGCATCTATTGTTGAACTTAGACGTTCTGTGTGGGCGTTTCTTATTTGTAGTCTGTGTTTCCTCTCAATCTCAGCCAGTCTTTGGTATATCGACTTGTTCCGTTAACGTTACTTGTAATGCGGAATTAGTACGCGGGGCAATAAACGTTGCAGAATATCGAACTCCATTCTAAACGCTTAATTGTCTCGGCGTATTAAAAAACGTACTACATACAAACATAATCTTATTATTAAATCATACACATCATATTAAGGATGTTATCTTGTCAATATCGAAGTTCCTAACAGTGAAGTCAATAGTGTAGACATAAATATCTAACGACAGGTGGTAAAGTGGTCATGCTGGGCAGCGCACGCCAAGCTCTCCGGCGAATAAACGGCCAACTCTTTCGGACCATCAAACAAAACTGGACTGTATTATAATTTCATTTAAGGTTTTAATTAAGCTTTTGTCTGCTGTCTACTTAACGTATCGTATCTGTTAAGTCAATAGCAGCGCAAGCCTGAAGATGGGAGAATTCGAATTTATTGACCATTAATTCAAAATATTATTTTCACAATATAAGTACTTATTTATTAATTTTGAAATATTAGGTTCCGATTAATTTATATGTGTCGTTGAGATATTTATTATGTATGTAAATATGGACTTTGTTTATAATACTAATCTTTTGTTTTCAGACGTTAAGAGCACCTATATTGACTCACTTATAGTTCTTCATTGTCCGAGTTGTACTATACCAAATATAAATTAAATGTATCAGTTATTTTATCAGCTCCATTAATAACTTAATATGCATAATCAATTTATACATCATTGGTTATTATTCGAATCGTTAATGTATAAATAAACATCGCTTATAATTACTTATACTATCGTTTCCGGTCCGCAGCACGATGCAGTGTTGGTTTTCTTTTTTTTAAGTCATCACAATCGTAATAAATTAAAATTAAAATATATATCCTTTGGATAGAACTCGAATCTGAACACCTCAGATATTTGTGTGAGTTCAAAATCACATACAAAAACAATTAAGCAATGAAGTCGCTCGCTTTGATATATTGTCATTTTTTAATACATGTTACTACTCTATAAATGACTAATTTTAATACAAAATTGTGTACATAATATATTTATATATAATGATTTTTATTGTATAATGTTTTTTTTATATATTTATTTTTTAATATTCTTATATGTTTCAAGTTTTTTGTGTTGTTGTTGGAATATTCTTAATCATGATTTCTATTAATATCTACCTCCAGCTTGTCTTAGGTTATGTACAGTTACAATTATGGTAGGAATCTAGTTTTTTTTTTATCTTTATATAATATAAAATGAAGTCGCTCTCACTGTCTATTCGCTAATATACTTAAAACTACAGATTCATTCATAATTTAACAGCGGCGCTCTTGCTATTTTCCACGATCTTCCATTAGTCTCTTTAGTTAATACGATACGACTATACAACGGATTTTAATGCAGTTTTAGCAATAGATAGAGTGATTCAAGAGGATGGTTTATATGTATAATACATGTGCAAGCCGGGAGAGTAGCTAGTATATTACAAAGCTGAAGAGTTTGTTTGTTTGAACACAATAATCTCAGGAAGTACTGGTTCTAATAGAAAAATTACTTTTGTGTTAGATAGTTAATCTATCGAGGAAGGGTTTAAGCTGTATAACATTACGCTTAAGACCAATAGAAGCGGATAATCAGTGAAAAATGTTGCATATATACAGACCATGTTATACCGATAGTATGAAGTAAAAAATGTTTTGAATAATTTAAATATATATTGATGATTTCGTTATTAGAAAGAAATTATATACTCTATAATACTAACTTAGACAATCTTTACGATATATATGATACACGTGTGAACGACCTGACTACAATAATTTATATATAATTACTATGTTGATATTACTATAAAAGCTAGGAGATGTATTGTCGCGGAAAATATTCAATCGTTATCAATTCTATCTATCAATAAAGGCACCAGTCATCCATGGACACACATTCTAACACCAGGTAAATTAGTATGCGAGGCATAAAAACTGGCCAAGTGGGAATTGAACCCGCATCAGTAGGTATAAATAAATAACTCTGGACAATTAACACAGCGCCATCTAGTCCCACGGTGAGCATAGCTTGTGTTATGGGTACTAGACAACTAATATACATATTTAGATAGTTTTTTTTGTAAATACATACGTATTATACGTAGGAAACATGCAGACGGATACAAACAATCATGCTCATGAATACAAATGTTTGCGCCGTGGGAGGAATCGAACCCGCGACCATCGGAAGTAAAGCGATGTGCTAAACTTCTAGACCACCGAGGCTGTCAGGTATTTATTTGAGTACTAGCTGTTCCCGCGACTTGGTCCGCGTGGAATTAAACTTTATTTTTCTAAAATAAAAGTAGCCTGAGTTACTCCTCATTACATCAGCTACCTGCCAATAAAAGTCCCGTCAAAATCAGTTCAGCCATTTCAGAGATTAGACGGAACAAACAGACAGACAGACAAAAATTGTAAAAAATGTTATTTCGACGTATGTACCGTATTTATTTCATATGCATGTAGTAAAAAACGGTCATTTCAATATTACAAACAGACACTCCAATATTTATATGTTATTAATTCATATATGTAATTCATAACAATACTAGATTTAAAAACAAACTTTCTGTACCTAAGAATCGTTTAGAAAAAATCTATGTGTCTTTTATGGGAATGGATATAAAATTACTGGAATCACAGTTTATCTGTTAAATCATATTTATTTAGCTATTCACTCACTACACGATTACTTGAATGACGAGCGTGCATGGCAGTAGTTGTTCATACACAGGATTTTCATTTAATGTTAGACATAGACACCTACATAAGTAAAGAACGTAAACTTTGCTTTGGCTCTTAAAAAAAGAATTATAGATGAGTTTATTAGAATAGAATAGAATAGAAAATCATTTATTGAAATAACTTAATTTAAGCACTTTTGAATAGTCATAACTATTTGTTTTTATCTACCACTCGTTCGGAAAGCTGTCTCATCACAAGAAGAACGAGCAAGAAACTTGTGTGTTGCTCTTTTAAATAATCCTTGTAAGTTTACATTTACAAGTCGAAACGTGTGAATACACACTACCAACAAGCACTAATTTTTTGGGTCAAATATAAATATACAATAAGATCAAATCAGTCGTAGTGTTAAGAGCAGACCAGTCCCTACAAGCAGCACTCGTTCACGAGTATGACGGATGAGCCAGCCATCACTGCGCTAGACCATATTTTAGGGGAGCCCAATGACCCGTTCCACCACGCCGCCACATGTCTGGACATTTTAGTGAGCATGACTACTCGTTCCACTCGACCACGTCACACCTACAAAAATTACTATATGGTAGTTACAGTATTCGCACTTTACATGAGGATGCATGCGGCAATCAGTACAAAAGCCGCTACGCTATCATATATAAAAAAACCAGTATGAAAAATAAATTATAACGTTGTCCGCAAATAAACTTATTCTTGCTATATATTGTTATCATCTAAAAATTCATCATATTGCCAGTTATACATCTATGTTCAGTAAAACCATATTCGGTATGGCTCCTACAATATATAATAAAATTCCTAAGAGAATCAAGCTTACTGATGATATTAGACGTTTTAAATTTATTTTGAAGAAATATTTATTAGGCAAGTATTATTATAGCATAAATGAATTTCTGTATGACGAAGATTTGTACGCGTAATTGCAGAAGACAGTGAAATTATCTATCACATATAGTGATCGTTATCGTTGTTCTATCTATATGAATTATCTATCTATCTATATATGAAATTCTATATCTATCTTAAGATCTTTATAACCTGTACTTCACAATTAAAGGATTTGAATTTTGATATTTTTCTTCCCAATTGAAACTGGTCGATGGGCAAAAAATATTAATACATAAACTTAACGTTTATAAACGCCTAAAATGTCATATATGAATAAATAATTGATGATTTGTTTTGAACTCTTAAGCTTAAATGAAATGGTATTTGTTCATATTACAGAGAATCGTAGGATCACTTATAAAACCTGTCAGAAGTTTGCATTAAATTAAAATTGAATTTGAAAATCTTCAATTCTTAGCCCTTTGTTCGTAAAAAAACAAAGCCTCCGCAAATCCATTTAAACTAGACCAGCATTCTGTTAGTTTTGAAATTAAGAAAATTTCTGAGAGATAAAACTATTGTAGCGCATTGTCACTTTTGAAATTAAGAAAATTTATGGTGAATAAAACAGTTCAAAAGCTAAGCTGTGTTTATTAAACGATGAATATTAATGTATATCATAATTTCATATGTATACAGTCGAAACTTTTTTAAAATAATATGCAATTATTGTTGATATATTTCTTTACAATTTAAACTATATAAGCCCTTATTGTTAGGTGTTAACCCTTAGAAATCTTAAATTGCGTTTCCCATAAAATATCTTACACTTATAAAATTACGGTAAATTGACGGACTCGGTGGTCCGGCGGTTAGCACACTGCTTTACTTCCGATAGTCGAGGGTTGGATCCCACGGTACAAATTTGTATTCATGAGTATGTTTGTTTGTATCGGTCTGTTTTTTTATATGTATTATATATTATATGTTTACAAAAAAATATAATATTCATGTTAGTTGTCTAGTACTCATAATACAAGCTCAGCTTACCGTGGAACTAGATGGCGCTGTGTAATAATTGTCGATGACGATGGTTTCCAGGGCGACCGCGTGGAGGTCAACCTGACATGGTACATTGCTAGTAATGGTCCACATTACTAACAATTCCATTTCCCCCCTAATGTACTGGTATTAGCAAATTACAATTTAGTGATATAAATAATTAAATTTTATAAATTTATAATATGTTTCAAACAAGTTTATTGTTCGCAGGGCGTGGAAGAAGAAGACAGGGTGTCGGTAAGTATCTTTATATTAAACTAGCTATACCCGCGACTCCGTCCGCGTGGAATATAACTTTATTTTTCTAAATGAAAAGTAGCCTAAGTTACAAGTTTCTCCTTATTACATTAGCTACCTGCCAATAAAACTCCCGTCAAAATCGGTTCAGCCATGTCAGAGATTAGCTAGAACAAACAGACAGACAGACAAAAATTGGAAAAAATTTTGGTGTGTCGTTTTTATATTCATATGCATGTAGTAAAACACGGTTATTTCAATATTACAAATAGACAGTCTAATTTTATTTATATGTATAGACTATGATTGTTTGTATCAGTGAGGTTGGTTTTCTATAATAATGATAATGATATCATGCATTTATATTCTCTAATTTTATTTATATATATAATTATAAATACATACAGATATAAATTATCCACTTATAATTGTATAGATGATTAATACCCAAACCTAAGTCATATTTCGTCAAACATGCCCCCCCAGCTAAAACTTGTAAAATGGTTAAGATGTATTATAAGTATGCAGGAGCAGGATTCTCACACAGTCTGTCACTCAACAGACTGACAGACAATTTTTTTTCATATACCCTTAGCGAACAGCTGTTAATTTCAAATTACAAACAGACACTTTAAAATTATTTATTTGTTTAAGATATATATATTTAAATGTTGATTCAGTATTGTTTTGTTCTCACAGTTAGATCAGAAAAGCGAAGTGGATCCTTTAGATTTGAAGCAGAAGCAGTGGATCATGTGTGCCGCACGGGGGGAGTATCACGCTCTGGCCAAAATGTGCAAGGAAAACGCGAAACTTGCAAAAACCAAGGTACGTGTTTTTTATAGCATTGGGGTAAACGAGCTTTCTGATGTACTAGCTTTTGCCCTCGGCTTCACTCGCGTTAATTTATCCCCTTAGGGGTGGAATTTATCAATATCCTGTCTTAGGGGATGCCTACGTCATAGTAGCTTTATACATGCAAAGTCTCAGCCCGATCGGTTTGAAATTGACAAAGTTTCATACAAACTTTCGTCCCCTATTTTATCCCCTTGGGGGTAGAATTAATCAAAATTCATTCTTAGCGGATGCCTACGTCATAACGTCTACTTGCATGCCAAATTTCAGCCCGATCCGTCCAGTGGTTTGGACTGTGCGTTGATAGATCACTATGTCAGTCACCTTTGAGTTATATATATATAGATTTATTATTAAGAAAGAGGTATGTGTTATTAATTTTAAATGCAATATTGTATTTAATTTACAATCTAAGATTAAATCAAATCTAAGTTAAAATTGTCTGAAACTAGAAATAGAAATAATCTTTAATAAGATAAACTCAATACAAGCACTTTTGAATAGTCATATTTTTTTATTCTACCACTCATTTGGAACGCAGATTCATCACAAGAATGAAAAAGAAACTTATGTGTTGCTTTTTTGAATATGTTTTTAAATAAATAATTACACAATAACAAGTAAGAGGCATGCGATAATCAATATGGAAACCACTACGCACGCATTCTTAGTGCAATCAGATAATATTGTCAGCGCTATGAATTGGAAACAGTTGTCTAGTACCCACAACACAAGCCTACTTAGTCATTTATTTATTATTTCGGCATTAATTTTAAAACACATGGTTAGTAAGTTTATTTGTTTTATCTGTTTTATTGTTGTCAAACATTAAGAATATAGTTAAACATTTGCAGTGCGTGTCGTAGATAGTAATGTTTTAAAAATGTGATAAACGTTAACGGATGTAGTAGTCCCGTATCCTTGAGTTTTTAGGTGATAGTTAGCGCCAGGAATGAGCACATGCCCAAAAGGTGTTCATCTAATTGGGTCTTGGGGTGCTCGCCGGCGCCGAGCGCTCGCCCCCCGCCGTAAGCTATCTTGACGTATCTCTGAAAGTCCCTTGTTTTACGAGCCATCTCTCAGAACCCAAGTTTTTTTCTATTACACCATTGTGTTTACGTTCCTACTTGCGCACTTGATATATTATCGTCATATAAGTCGACCAACGCTAATTCTGAATAGTGTTTTACTGATTTATTTGAATACAATTAGTAAATTGAATGCGTTATTTGGACGACGTACAATTTGCTGTCGTGTGAGTGCAGGAGTTTATATCGAATGTGTATTTGATTCTGATTTCAATTTACGTACAAAATAAAATTTTAATATTAAGAATGTTTCTTTAATTTCTATTGTTATACTTATTTGGAATCGGTAATTATTCATTTTGTTATTCCAATATCCTTACATTGCAAGTGGAAAAAAGTCGCTTCCGCTATCAGCTCGATTAGATCTTTTACTCCGCAACGGATTTTAATACAGTTTTTAGCAGTAGCTTGATTGATTCAAAGGGAAGATTTATATATATATATATATATAATAATATAATAACATAGAAACCTGTACGAAGCTAGGATGGGTAGCTACTGTAATGTATTATTTAGATACCTACTATATCATTAGAAATAGTAATAGAAATAATCTCTATACAAAAAACTCAGTATAAACACTTTTGAATTGTCATAATTTATAAATTCTACCACTCATTCGGAACACAGACTCGTCACAAGAAGAATGAGCAGGAATCTTCCGTGTAGCTCTTTTAACTAAATGTTATTCGCAATTACATTTTTAAGAATATTCTCTCTGCCAAATAGCAAAGTGGACATAAATAAATAAAATAAATCACTACATTGTAGTATCCATAATATATACAACTTGTCTATAATATCTTTTCCTGTCTTCGCAAGCAAGAGTCATTGCAGATAGTGTTTTAGCGTCATAATTTTTAGGTTGTTTACAGTTTAAACCTGTTGTTTTGACTTCGTGTTGATTACCGAGTACATTACTTTTATTGAATAAGCAATAAAAAAGGTATATCCTTCTCTTTTATTGATTCGCTGTAAATTAAGAGTCGACGCAATTGGATTTGGGTTTTTATTGATATCCACGTAGTCTTGTTTATAGTTGTTAAATTCACCTAATGAAACTTACTTAATGTTGAGAAACTCTTTTGATATTAATATATTCAAAGTTTTCTTGTATTCTTTAATCAAAATTATATAATTGTCACTTCACTCTCTACCATCTTACCATTAAAGACCTTTTTCCAGTCATAAATGTTTTACTAGAAAGAAAGAAAGAAAGAAAGAAAAATATTTTATTCAGTGCAATGTAAAAATACAATATAAACAACACTACATATATCTACAACACTTAGGCCTTAATTCGACGGAGATTTTTGTAGCAAAAGAAACAGATTTTTTTAGTAGTCATATTTTTGGTTCTGAAGTAAGTACGGGGAAAATTATAAAAAAAAATTGTGCTGTACAGTTTTTGATAACGCATGTCCGTCACAGCGGATATTGTCACACGTATTTTTAAAACTATGTAGTTCAGTAGATTTTTTTAAGTTGGTTGTTCGTCACACTGGACACTATCGAATTAAGGGTTAAGATCAGTTTCGGCAGACTGTTATATTATTTGTATCAACCATTTTATGTCATTGAAGACTCGTTTAGCAAAATCATATGATTTTTAATCGAGTTATAAAGAAAGAATAGGCAAATCGTCAGAGTGACGAACGTGCGTGGCAATAGTTGTTCATGCACAGGATTTTTATTTAATGTTAGACATAGACACCCAGATAAATGACGCTGTAAATAAACTAGTTTTAAAAAAAAATTAATTGAGTTTTTTGCCTGCCAGTACTCAATTGAATCTGTCTTCTGAACGGTAAGAAAAAATATAAATTTATTGACGTTCATAAGCGGCTAAAATCATCATCATCATCTGCTTCTTCCTTATCCCATTTATTTGGGGTCGGCGTAATATGTTTTTCTCTTCCATTCATCTCTGTTCGCAGTCATTCCGTTATTTACTCCCTTTCTCACCATATCATCTTTCACACAGTCCATCCATCTCTTTTTCGGTCTTCCTCTACCCTTATAACCATCCACATTCATATGTAACACCGTCCTTAGGATATGATCTTCATTCCTACGCATTACATGCCCATACATAAGCGGCTAAAATGTCCTACATAAATAAATGATTTTTGAATTTGATTTTTGAATTTCTTGCTCTCTACCTTTATCGTCAGACAAACAAAAGGTTACCAGAACTGTAGTAACGTAAATTTTTAAATGGTAAAGTATGATTGTTTACTTCGAAAAAATGTGCATTTATATTTGGTTGCCAAATCTTAATAAAATAAAGTATATTTTTGAATGGTATAGTTTGCATCTTTCGAAACTAAAGGTAGATTTGACATAGCATAAGAGTCCGTAATAAATCTACATGAAGAAAGACATTTTGGATTTTTTTTTTTTAGTAAAGTATTTTTAGTCTTAGAAAAAAATGTGCGTTTGAATTAGTTTCCAATTAGTAAACCACCGTATTGCTCATAACACGTGCTTCAGAATGTAGAACGTCGTTTAGTCTCATTTTCTTCTATCCGCCTACCGACTTAATAAAGCAACAGTAAATATTGTCTGACAATATGTAACATGTGTTAGCTACTGAGCCTAGCATGTGGACATTTGCCGCCTTTCCTCTAAAAAACACTTTGATGCTTATTTTCGTATTTGCCCGAGCTGGTGATAGAATTATAGATTTGTGGAAACAGCTCTGTGTGTGGGTTCCTATGATACGTTTTATTGCGCGTCCTTCTTGTATCTCTTTGAAACAAGATGTTTAATATGTCAGCGTGACTTCCTATTTAAAAGAGCTCCGGTTAAGTATTTATTATTTAATACTCCCAGTGATTAGTTTGGTACGAATTGGTTGATATTATAAAACTCTTTGGTGTTCTATATACGCGTTTTCACTTAATCAAAATTACATCATTAGATATATTAATATTACTAATTTAATTACCAGTATTCTGTAAATAATCATTCATTTCATTTCATTACTAGCTGTACCCGCGACATCGTCCGCGTGGAATTTTATTTTATCTTACTAAAACACAATATTATTTCTAAAATAAAGGTAGCCTAAGATACTCCTTGTTACATTAGCTACCTGCCAATAAAAGTCCCGTCAAAATCGGTCCAACCATTTCAGAGAACAAACAGACAGACAGATAAAAATTTTAATAAGTGTTATTTTGGCGTATGTAACGTATTTATATTCATATGCATGTAGTAAAAAACGGTTATTTCAATATTACAAACAGACCCTCCAATTTTATTTATATGTATAGATGTACAAGGCAATGATCCTATTTAGTTGCTTGCAGCGATGAGATGTGACTTGACATTTTTATACTTTGATAATTTTTTTTAATTGTACTTTTACACTTCAGATATTAATCCGTTTGATAAATACATGAGTAATCAAAGTTCTTACAAAATTATCAAATATATCACCATTATACATATATAGCCTAAATTATTATAGTCTGTTATAAAACGGGCCGAAAAGCAATATTTTTATACAAAATAGATTTTAAATTCATTTCACTAAAATCAGGTAGGACTTAGCACTATTAAAAAAATATATATTGAGGCCGAGTATCGACAAAACGTTCTCATATTACAAACTAAGATAAGGGAATGCAAGATAAAATCTTTTATACTAGGGACCGTATGACTCACGGACCTCGCGGCACCAACGCACAGAAATACCAAACGCACAATTGTTTTTATTGTTAGCGAATTGTAAAAAAATACAATCTCCATCTCAATACCTCCAACATGGTATATAATATTATGTTTATGTATTTGTATGAAAATTTATTATATACATAACTTAATTATACAGCAATGAACTTAAAATTAGAAACCTTAAAAAATATATACATAATACAATAACTAATATATGTTATTAATAGAGAGCTATCGGTTATTACGGGGAGAGAACTACGAGGTTTTTGGTTCCAAAAATTTATAAGAATTTAGATGGGTTACAACGAAATTCTAATTTAAGTAGACCAGTACTGAAGTCAAAATTAAAAAGAGCATTTTTAGATAGACTTTAAAAACAAAAATTGTAATTGTATGTATTTATCTGTAAAAACGTGTATTTATGTGGATAGAAGCGATATCTTGCCAACAAACTGTTCTACAGTTTGGCGAGTCAATGTATAAAAACAACTGTACTATTATCTTTATTAAATATATTAAAAAAAAAAAAAGTAGTCCCTTTAGGCAAGGTTCCGAAGATACTGGCAGCGTTCCCCCTTTGAATTGCTAGACTAATTCTTTGTTCAAGGTAGCTGCCAGGTCTTCGGTCTTCGGTGATATCAACTAACCTTTTTACTATTTCCTTAAACAGTCTTATCCCATCAAAAACATAAATGTGAAATGATAGCCGAGTTTAATATTATGATATATGCCTTGATTGTTGACTTCTACGACAAAAGAGGTGAGATCTAAATGGGTGCCAAGTTCAATGGTATGGCCTGAAATGTATTTATAACAATATATAATATAATTTCTTCTTATAACTTAGGATAATATACTGTAGCCTAAGGTCTAACTTGGCCAGTTCTCATATACCAATTATTACTTTCGATTGCTAGTTACTATTAATATTAAAATAGGAACCGACAAGTAACATGTTTAGAACTTGCGAAGGCTACAGTATATTTCGTATATGAAAACTAGCCAAGTTAGACCTTAGGCTACAGTATATTATCCTAAGTTATAAGAAGAAATTATATTATATATTGTTATAAATACATTTCAGGCCATACCATTGAACTTGGCACCCATTTAGATCTCACCTCTTTTGTCGTAGAAGTCAACAATCAAGGCATATATCATAATATTAAACTCGGCTATCATTTCACATTTATGTTTTTGATGGGATATCATTACTTTTTGTACATAAATTATACGAGGTACTTATTTATAACTAAATTAATA